ATTTTTTTCTTAGAATTCTGACTTGAAGCTCTGACTTTAATCTTTGAATTTTGGATCTTAATGAAGATAGGCACAATGAAGGAAGAGCTATGGCAGCACTCAGCTTCACTGACAAAGATGCAAGTTGTTTGAGAGGGCCATTAACACATTGGTGGAAAATTACAGAATTAGACGACTTCTTACGTGCCCGAGGGGTCCCCTGATATGCTATTTCATTAATGGAAGAGCAGAAGGTGATTACAGTAAAACAAGAGAGCTAGATTAGTCTTTAGAAAAGACATGGCTACGGCTTGATGCTAACATGTTTGTTAGCTGTCAGAATTCAGTTAACTTTTTCAGTTAACTTTTTTAATTTTTTCAGTGGCCCTAATCCTCTTCCGTAGAAACCTTATATTTCCAAAGGCATATTTTGCCCTAAGTCCTGCTAAGTAAAAGTTGTTTAGAGCTGCATCATATTGCATGAGTTTTGAATTATATTTGTTAATTATCTGACAGATTCTGTTGCCATGTTAAACAACCAACAGTTTCTTTCTAATTTTAGCTTTTAAAATAAGGATTTTTTCCCCCTATGGAGTGTTATTTTATGTAAAAAAAAAAAATGATACTAATAAAACACATAAGTTCCAAGCTTGAGCTCTAAAACATATTTATGGTGCTTTTAATGTCATTCTGTTATGAAAATTAAACTAAATATTCTTTACACTGCAAAAACAATCTAGAAATATGTATGGGGTAGTGTATGTAAATATGTATTCTCAAATTAAGTGTATTAACACATTCAGCTGAAACCCCAGCTGAATGTATTGAGCAATTGTCTTTGAAGGATTCACTTCTCCTGGATGAGCATGTGGCAACACCTAACATTGTGTCGTTGCCTCGACAGCAATCCATCATGCAAAGCATGCATGTGATCACAGTGGAGGGGAAAAACTCCCCTGTTAACAGGAAAAAACCTCTAGCACAGAGGTCACGATTAGCAGACCAGGGTCCGGATCCGGACCCACCTGCTGGCTAATCCGGACCCAAACGGATTTAAAACGTTTATAAATTATTGCATGTTGTCTGACTTCACTTGTGCCGCTTCTCCTGTTAACATGGTAAAGCCATCCCCAGCCATCTGGGACCAGGCTACATGCGTTACAAATTATCCAATGAGCTGCTGTCAGTCTGGGTTGCTGCTGCTGCTACTTTTAGACACAGCAGACAAACCTGTGGCAAGCCGGGAGATGGGAAAGAAGGAGAAGATGATGAGAAAAAGAGAGCAGAGAAAGTGTGGACTGCAGTAAGAACCGCAGTGAACTGGTGAAAGAAAAGTGAAATGGTGCTCAAAGATGACCCTGCACATTTAGAGGATGTTTGGCTCAATCTGCTGCTGTGAATCAGGATTCTCCACCATGAACAGAATCAAAAATAAATATGGATCCAGGCTCACGAAATTAGCACCTAGATATGGGCTTTAGAATGGCTTTGTCGCCATTAAAACCTGAGAAAAAAAAAAAAAAAAAAAAAACAATCTAGCAGAACAAGACTCTGTGTGAGCAGACTTCCGCAAAGGTTGACTTCGGTTTCAAAAAAGACGTAAGTAAATATAGAAAAGGAACAAGAAAGCACAGAATCATATATACCACCAACATAGAGGTATTTATAGATCTGTCTAGGAAAGGAACAGTTGAGCAAATAAGCTCTCAGCCAGTTTTCATATCAACGAGAGAAACAGGACAAAGCACTGACAAACAGGCCCAATTCTGTCATTCATAATGGAAGCTGCTTGACAATAGCAAAACAGCATGCGTTTCCCCGCAGGGATGGTGCCACAGCCAAACAGAACCAGGCCAGATGAAGCTACTATGTTGAAGAAAAATCATGAAGAAAACAAAGTTAGAATTTTACTTAAAAATAATGCAGAATTTGAGAATAAAGTTGAATGAAAGTGGTCCCTTTGTCCTCCAGCAGTCTTAGTCTATAGCTGCATAACTACAGAATTAGCTCAGGATAACCTGAGCCACCCTAAAGGTGGAGCCACTTTAACCTTTACAAACATGTTTATGTAGGCATATTTAACTGGCTAGCCATCAGACTATTTAAGAAGGAGATGGGTTTAAATGAGGAACTTGTTTTGGTATGAAAGGTGTGATTCAGCAATTTGGGATCCGATGAAGAACCCAGATAAAGCAGGTAAGAGAGTCTCTCCATAGCAGAAACAGCCCTCTTCCCACATTTACTGAACAGGCCAATCAGACAGAGAAGCCATTACTCATAATGACCATAGCTGTCCTTGGATTAAAAAGGAAGCCTTGCAAGTCTGCAAATTAGATTGCCATCCCAGTTTTGACGCAAAAGTTAGTACCATCATGTTGTAAGAGCGTTTTTCTGCGAGGAATGGTCTAGTGCATTTCACAAAGTCAATGTCACCAACAGAAAGGAGCACCATGGGGAAGTATTAAAGCTACATCCAAAGACATCAATCAGGAAATAAATGTTTGGACACAAATAGGTTTCCTAAATGGGTAATATTTATATTTAAGTGGTCAACGCAAAGCCTGCATCTAAATCTCAAACTAAATTTGTAGGAAGAGTTGGAAAGATGCATGTAAGTGAGTCATTGATACAGTTCTGTCAGAAGGAACTGGCCTAAATCACAGTCAATCATTGAGAAAACCTTAGGAAAGGGTACCCAAAACAACTGATATGAGACAAATATAAACCTCTGAATTTTTAAAAAGCTAAGAATAATTATTCAAATAAATGCAACTTCTTGGTTTTTATAGATTTAGACAAATAGGTTTGATTTTGCAAAGCCTAAGAAACCTTTATACAGATTTGATGTCAGGAAGTAAGTAGAAAATGTCTTTTCATACAGTGTAACTGAATGTGGTTTACAGAGCAGGAGTAAAAACGACCTCAACTACTAAAACAGTTGAAAGGTGTTAGGTCTATATCCTGTTAAAAGACACAATCGTACTTAAGATAATATAGAATGTCAACAGGACGGCCTTTGAGACGGCAGCTGAAGCTTCCTGTGGAACACAAAGCGAAAAAGGCGAGACCATGTGTTTTGCTCTGTTCTTCCACAAGTAAAAAAAAAAGTGTTATACGAAAAAATAAACAAGACTAAGGACAACTGTACAACAAAAAGTCATAAAAAAGAAAATATTTTGAAGAATAAAACAGCAAATCTATTAAAAATAGAACCATGCCGCATACTAACTCGGCTATGATATAAAAAACAATTTAAGCTTCATTTCAAGACCTAAATTATCAACATGGATTTCCTGTAATACATTCTAAGCTTTCTGACTTGACAGAAATAGTATTTATCATCTTTACTGATCTGGTTTCCATAGTGACAGTGAGTCTATGTTGCTTTAAGAATGATTAGATTAAAAGATAATCCCTGCAAAAGTAGTGAAACTTAATCTAATCACAAAACGCCTAATTTGCTTAGTTGTGAATAAAACTACCAGTGACATCTGAATCGGCTTCTGATTAGTTTAGAAGGAAGACGTGAAGGAGGAAAGGGCAGCTGATATCTGCATTTTGATTGAATTTAAAGGGCCAACGGTTTCATTGACAAGATCGTCGGCCTTTTGTTAACCATGATTACACCAAAGCATGATGTCATTGTTGCTTCATATCAAAATGGCTTCAGAGGGAATAATAACACCAGAACTACAACCAAATCAACATCTTTCAAATAATTTAGAAATTCCAAGTGAGATTTTGGGTTGTTGCTGGTAAAGCACAGTGGAGTATAAAATGGCAAGCGAAAATATGGTTGCCACTATTCAGAGCTAGCTCATTAATATCAGCAACTAATATGCATTTCCGCTCAGGAAGGCAAAGATGCTTGGACCTTGGGTTGGAGTAAAGATGTTCAGCAAAGAAGCCACTTCACTCAAAGACAGTTATCAAGGAGACACTGATTCTCTGCAGGCAGAATCATGTTCAAACTGCAGCTAAATGTGGTTATTATTTCAGATGAAGCTGTTTTCTGATTTTTTAGGATATTGCAAAAAGAGATTGTGCACTACCATGTGTATTTTCTCTAATAAATAACAAAAGAGTCAACAAAAAAAAAAACATTTCAAGAGTAATTATTATGAATGCATTTTCGAACATTGTCATGAACTGTGACACATGGCAAAAATAAAAAACAAATTATCTCAGACAGAAAAATCATGACATTTTGTTTTCTTTGCAGGAAACTCAGCAGATCTGGATCCAAATTGGAAACTTTGCTATCAAAATTATTTTTATGAACACAACAACTCATTATAAGCAACTACTTCTGTAATAGAAGACAATAATAGCTTATAGCTTTTTGCACAATGCTACATCATCACCACTATTTTCTCAGTAATAGTGTTTTCCTCACATACTGGGGCATCAAGTGAAGTAATCAATAAAAAAAAAACCCACAGGAAACGGAAGACAAAACAAAAATATATGAAATACAATGCAAAAAAAAAGAAAAAAAAAAAAAAAAAA